TTTTTTGAAAGTAGTTGGAAGGGAGACGAGAAAATCTATGGATCTGATTCATTCACCGCCACATTTGGATGAGTTCTCTCCAGTATGCCAGTAGTAACGCTGCTCCAGCTTTGTGACCGCCTTCACAATGGACTCGGATCTTTGCAGTTGCATCTGGGTGCTCCAACCGATCACTTCTATACAGGTTGGAGCAACGCTACTTCAAAACATGATAATGCGGGCGAGAAACACGTGACTCGTGCCAAATAACCTACGGAGTAGGTAGGACTACGGACGATAGTGTAGCGTAAATGTAAGGCGGTGGTAAGCGTGCTCGCATGGACGATTGCAAGCTCAGAACCTCGCACGTAAACGATATCAACTACGTAAATCACCTTGTTTTCTCAGAATCGATTACATCTCGCACCGCGAAGGTGCTCGTTCGTTCTCACAAGCCATCTCCTCATGACTCATGCTCCATGAGCCAGTTCATACTACGTCATGGTAGACACGCGCGCAGAACCGTGTTTTGAGCCAAGTGCTGCTGAAGACGGCACCCAATAGGAGAGGACCGCCGTGGATCTGCCAGAAACGCTCTCATCTTGGTGCAGAGTGACGCAGACATTGAAGCACAAATAGCTCAGCACATGTTTAGTATTGAGAAACAGCGCATTCTATAGGACTCCAGTTTCTTTAGTTGGGCTTCGACACAACAAACAGCAACCAGCTCGACTGGCATTTCCCAATTTCCTCCTTCCTTTGACGCGATTGTTCTCGTGTCGACTGCAGTGCCGCGACCCGAGCTACCACAGAAACTAGAACAGTCTACCATATCAACGTCATGAACTTCGCGCTGAACGTGAAGGCGCCAACTGCGCACGATGACGCGCGCTACTTCGACAGTAGTTGGCAGCAGATTGGTCAGGACCTGCGCACGCAGCGCTGGAAGACCGTGGTGAATATCGACCGTATGCTGCGCAACCACCACCCACACGAGGTGCTCACTCACGTGGAGCAGAACACCAACTGGAGGGCCAAAACATTCACGCTGGCGCTCAAGGTGGAACGAATTATCTTCGAGGCTGCGGCCTCACGAGAGAGCTACCTAGACGAGAACACGCTGCGTGCTCGTGTTACTCAGGTATCGCGTCGGCTCATCGATCGACGCAAGCGCAAAAACATGATCAAATTCGGCCTCCGCTTACCGCGCCACTTCATGCTTGCCAAGCATCAACGACATTGAGCGCGACAACGGCACCGAACATTGATAATGTAGCTTTTCGACAGTATATAGCAAAGCATAGTGCAGAAAACTATAATAAATGTCATATTTTAATACTCGAGTTATCTACTACATGTACGAGGTTCCCGAACTCAAAATATGTAGTTGCTAAATGATGTTATTAAAATATAAGTATTATGACGGCACTAGAACACGTAAATAACTCGACGCGACAGCCTCATGCAATTGCCCACGAGCTCCAGGGCAACGCAACGGAGACGGCAGACCGACGCAACTTTGAATTGCTTGCCAGTAGCGTACGAGGATCTTTCGTTTCTGCTGGAAATTCATCAGGAAGTTCTTGGTTCCTCCCCGAAACGGAAGCCCGTCTGCAGGACAAGTCCCGTGGTAATAGTGTGATAATTTGGACCTTTTAGACGATGTTTTACATCACGTTGTCCCGAATAACTTCAATTTGCCCCCTAGCCCTGATTATTTTTCACTCCGTTTCACAAACGG